TGGCCAAGTGCAAAGTGATGCACATTGGAGCCAAAAATCCTAACTATAAATACATGTTGATGGGGTACTAACTGGCAGAGACTGAACAAGAGAGAGCTCTTGGAGTCATAGTAGATAACTCACTGAAAATGTCAGGATACTGTGTGGCTGCAATAAAAAAGGCCAACACTATGCTGGGGATTATTAGAAAGGGAACTGAAAACAAATCAGCCAGTATCATAATGCCCCTGTATAAATCAATGGTGCGAACTCAATTGGAGTATTGTGTACAGTTCTGGTCACCACACCTCAAAAAGGATGTTATAGCATTGGGAAAAGTGCAGAAAAGGGCAACTAAAATGATAAAAGGGTTGGAACACTTTCCCTATGAAGAAAGGTTAAAACGCTTGGGGCTCTTTAGCTTGGAGAAATGACAGCTCAGGGGTGGCATGATTGAGGTTTATAAGATTATGCATTGGACAGAGCAGGTTGAGAAAGAAGTACTTTTCTCCCTTTCTCACAATACAAGAACACCTGGGCACTCAATGAAATTGCTGAGCAGTCAGGTTAGAATAGATAAAAGGAAGTACTTCTTATCACAAAGAGTTATTAACACATGGAATTCGCTGCCACAGGAGATGGTGGCAGCTACAAGCATGGATGGCTTCAAGAGGGAATTAGATAAACATATCTCGGTCTGGGGCAAGTGATGTTCTGTATTCTTGGTACTTGGGGGGGGGCAACAGTGGGAGGGCTTCTACTGTCCTGGCCCCACTGCTGGACCTCCTGATGGCACCTGGTATTTTTGGCCACTGTGTGACAGAATGTTGGACTGGATGGGCCATTGGCCTGATCCAACATTGGCTTCTCTTATGTTCTTATAGTTATAGGCTGCTGCCACACATGCTAAGTAATCCACTTTCAATCCACTTTCAGTGCACTTTCAAAGTGGAGTTTTACTGTGTGAACTGGCAAAATCCACTCTTTCAAAGTGGATTTTGCCAGTTCACACAGTAAAAATCCACTTTGAAAGTGCACTGAAAGTGGATTGAAAGTGGATTACTTAGCGTGTGTGGCAGCAGCCATAGATGACCTTCCACACAGGTCAAAGCGTCATCTGTTTATTCTTTTAAGCACACAGGTTTGTTCCTTTGGCATGCACATCCACTATTTAGGGCAATTCTTTATTTAGACATTCAATGGCTGTGGTCAGATGTGCCTCTAGATCCAACATAGCTGCTGATGCCTCACGGATCTAAAGTGCACGATCAGACGGCAACATTTGGGAAAGATCTCGCAGTCATTGGCTCCCCCATCCTGCTAGGCCACAGAAATGAAGTTAAAAGACACCGGGGAAAGTCCAGTCCTAACACTTGCTAACGGGCCATGGACGGATTTTCCCTAGTCTGATCACTTAAGCATGCATTCAGGACATCCCCCCCACTGCCCATTGGGGATATGGGGTTGATGACAAAAGATCAGAAATAAGTCCCACCGGATTCAGATGGGACTTAACCCAATAGTTACTCCTCTGTAGCCAAATATTCAATGTAACAGTAGATAAACCTGCTTCTTGTCTTAAGCCCAAATTTGCAGTACCTTTTGGGGCGTTGAAGAGTGCTCTGAGAAATTTCGATTGTACTAACTCTAAATCCTTAAATTTACTCTCTGTAAGTATTCGTATTCCATATATCATTTGTGGGAGAGCGCCACAGGGATCACAGTGTTGCTTGGAAGGATCGCCGAGCTGTTTCAGTGTTGACTTGAATCCCGGATATTGAAAAGCACATGTGCAAACAACTGCAGCGTTGTTTATGTGCATGCACAAAAGCAGGCACCTCCCCCATCCGTGCTGTCTGATCATGCAGCGACAGGCTGAGCTCACAGCGAAATGGGATGTGTAATCGTCACTCTGTCAAATACCAACGGAGGGAACAGGAGCGCTTCCTGAATGTGCCAAATGGCAGGTCTGACTGTGTGGAGGCCCAAAAACATAGGTTCCCTGAGAAATAATCACAAGTGATCTGACTGTTGAGAGGAAAGAGACTGTTCCTCTACACATATAGCTCAAGTGCTCTTTGAACGGACAGCCTGTAAACACAGAAGCCTACCATATTGTTAGTCGTTAGCAACCCTCAAAATTTCACAGAGCCAAGATCTGAACAGTAGTCCCAAACTGAGGCATACCAATCCGGAGGTGTTTGTGTTGGAACCATGGTTAGGGTTGCCACCCTTCAAGCGGGGCCCGGAGTTCTCCTGGAATGACAACTAACCTCCAGACTGCATAGATCATTCCCCTGAAGAAAAGGACACCTTCAGAGGACGGACTATATGTGGCATCATATCCCTGCTTGAGCTCCCTCCCCAGGCAGCACCTCCAAATCTCCAAGAGTTCCCCAAGCCAGATTTGGCATGGCGCAAATGGGGTCAGTAGGTAGATGTAAAGGCTGGCTGGACATTGTCTGGTGGTCATTTATTAATAACCAGGAGATGGCATGTTGAGTGAGATCCTAGGCCATGAGGCAACAACCAGCACACTGAATTGAACTTGGATGTATTTTTATTTATATACATTATTTATAGTATTAAACATGGCATTTTAAACAACACGGAACATGGCATTACATCAGTAGAAACACAGTACATTTTCCTGGGCTAAGCTGTTGTAGCCATATTTCCTTTATAAAAATGCTCCCCCGAACAATTCTGTTTTACAAAGTTTGCAAAAGGGCAGGAGTGTAGGCCTTCCTGACCTCCTCAGGCAGGCCACTCCATAGGGTGCGGGAGGCCCACTACAGAGAAGTCATGTATATGAGCAGTTGTTGATCTTGCCCATCGGGCTCAAATGAGCAAAATTGTTATGGTGGTGAGACATAGCTGGAGAGGTGGTCATGCAAATATGAGGGTCCAAGGCCATGAAGGGTTTTGTATGTGATAGCCAATACCCACCTCCCAATAATAACCCTGTGGTATTCTTCACCAACTGGAGCCTTTGAATTGATTTCAGTTGTCTAGTCGCGATATCATCGTGGCATGCATCCAGGTGGCCAGATAGGCTAAGTGTATGGAACGCAGCGTGGCAGACCCATGAGGGCGGGGGGCTATCTTCCAGTCTAAATTAAGTTGGAAAAAGCAGTTTACGTGGCAGCATTAGCTTGCTTCTCCAGCAGTAATGCTGGGTCTATTATAACCCCTAAATTCTTAAAGGGGTGAGCAAGGGTTATGCTGAACCCCACTGAAGTGGGAAGCATGATGCCATTTAAGACTTCAGGCTTCCTACCCAGCATTACTTCTGTTTTGTCTGAGACATAAACTATGATTTCCTAGCAGCCAGCTCCAAGCAACAATCAGACTGCAATTTCTGAGTTGTATTCAAGGGAAGCCCAACATAAAGTGGATTGCAGTAGTCCATCCGTGAGGTTGCAAAACCATGGGTCATCATTGCAATCCATGTACCAACAATCACCCTGTGTTCTTTTCAGATTTACAACTGGCCTCTGCACAGAACAACAGCGACATGGTTGATTACTACGAAGCACTGGGCATTCCACAACTCGCCTCTTCAGATGACATTAAAAAAGCGTAAGTAGATCTTCCTCCGATCTCAATCACTACATTTGATGGCACAAGAACTAAAATGTTAAACATTCTTTGCTGTTTCCGTTGACCTATGGTGGGGTGGGAATAAGATGCAAAATGCAAATTTTATCTCAATTTGTGACTGTGGGAACCTTGGCTTGGAATGTCCAAGGTTTTTAGTGTAACAGTGCAGTCGTCTTCAGAGTTACTCCAGTCTAATTCCATTGATGTCAATTGACTTAGATTGGAGTAATCCTGCATAGGATTGCACTGTACATCTTTTTTATACAACAATGGGACTGTGCGATGCTACCTAGTGGCAGTTGTCTTAGTCACTACGACTGCTTTCATGTTAAGTTCCTTTCATATTAATGTAGTTTCATATTACATTTCCTTTAAAAAACAGGTAATTTTATGGATATCTAGGGCACAACCCAAAAGCTGGTGTGGCAGGGAACCATTTACGCAGTGCTCTCTGTCATGATCTGTTGTGTCTGGTTCAAATATTAATGAATGTTTGGTTGTATAATAGCTATATGCTGGTGTACAATCCACTTTTTATTTGGTTAATTTGACCAGTTTCTATGCTGCCACTTCCCAAGCACTCCAAGTGGATAACAGCAGTTCAAAACACCCACAATAAAATAAAATACTCAAAATTACCCAACACCTAGTTTGACCCTGATTTTTGATTCTCAGCCCAAAGTTTTAGCAGTCTTCTAGAAAATGTCCAGCTGTGGGCTCTGATGGACTCATAGGGAAATGAAATTCTGCAACTGCAGGACAGCCACCAAAACCATTTATGTGCCTTTTCTATTTCAACTTGGTGCATGGATAGTATAATCAAGAGGGGATGCTCTTTGATCCTGAAGATCAAGGTCAGCCAAACACAGAAAGCATTACAGTAGGCTAGCCTTGAGGTTATGAAGACACAAATGATTATTGCCATGTTAAACAAACTATTTGCTTGGAGCAACTTCAGAATTAATAGATTGTGGGGTCTGAATGTGCATGTCCAATGTACACCCTGTCCCTAAATCAGAATAGAATCCTCCTCTTTGGTAAGGGTTCGAAGGGATTCAGTGATATGAAAAAATGTGGGATTAGGAACATCCCCTCCTGAGTAATTTTGCTGTCAAGGGATAAATATCTCTGTCTGAAGGCAGGGATCTCACTGTTGGTATTGTCTGAGTGAGATGATGGTTCATTTTAATGGTAAGCCTATAGTCTGGTTTCTTTCTCTGAAACATTGCAGGTATAGGAAAAATGCCCTGAAATGGCACCCAGATAAAAACCTGGGGAATAAGGAATATGCTGAGAAGAGGTTCAAGGAGATAGCAGAAGCATATGAAGTGCTATCAGACAGTAAGAGCTAAGTGCTTTTTCTCCTTTCACATTTTCTGCAGGGGTGCCAGGGTCTCTGATGTCTTGAGCTACCGGTGTGCTCCTCTTTCCTACTTTTGATTAGCAGCATTGTCTCTTCTACAGATATGTCTCATGAGCTCCTGCACGGTGTTTAAGATCTTACTTCTGCAGGTCACAGAAGTGATTAGGCCTGAAAGAATGGAAGCTGGCCAACATCAGAGATTCCTGAATGAAGCAGATGGTTTCGATTGTTCCAAATCTGTTTTCAGAACTGGATATGGGACTGAAATGGCCTTGGTTGCCCTGATGGGTGACATCCACCAGGAGATGGACAGGGGGACTGCGGCCCTGTTAATTCTCTTGGTATCAGACAGTAAGAGCTAAGTGCTTTTTCTCCTTTCACATTTTCTGCAGGGGTGCCAGGGTCTCTGATGTCTTGAGCTACCGGTGTGCTCCTCTTTCCTACTTTTGATTAGCAGCATTGTCTCTTCTACAGATATGTCTCATGAGCTCCTGCACGGTGTTTAAGATCTTACTTCTGCAGGTCACAGAAGTGATTAGGCCTGAAAGAATGGAAGCTGGCCAACTTCAGAGATTCCTGAATGAAGCAGATGGTTTCGATTGTTCCAAATCTGTTTTCAGAACTGGATATGGGACTGAAATGGCCTTGGTTGCCCTGATGGGTGACATCCACCAGGAGATGGACAGGGGGACTGCGGCCCTGTTAATTCTCTTGGACCTCTCTGTGGCTTTTGATACCACTGATCATGGTATCCTTTCAAGGCTGCCAGCCTCCTGGGGGCCCTGGAGATCTCCCGCTTTTACAACTGATCTCCAGCTGACAGAAATCAGCTCCCCTGGAGACAATGGCGGAAGGGTGGACTCTATGGCATGGGGCCATGCTGAGGGCCCTCCCCTCCCCAAACCCTGCCTTCCCCCGGATCCACCCCCAAAGTCTCCAGGTATTTTCCAACCGAGACCTGGCAACCCTGTATCCTTTCGGACTGCCTTTCGGGACAGGGAGGCACTATTCCGTGGTGGTTCTGGTCCATCTGAGGGTAGGCTTCAGAAGATGGTGCTGGGGGACTACAAGCCCCGTAGCCAGGAGTTTTTTGAGGGGGGTGCCAGGGAAGAACGAATTAAATTAAACCCCTGCAAGGGCTCTGGTGAGGAGGCGGGAAGGGGAAGGAAAGTGCTTCCCCTGCCATCGCCTGCATTCTGTGCCTCCAGAGGTGCCCAGAGAAAGATGGCAGTGGTTGCAGCCTAGCTATTCTCACCACCTCCTCTTCCAAGGCCCTCCCCTTTCTCCTCAGCCCGGGCAGGGTCCTCTTGGGGGAGGGGGGTGCTCCAGAGCCCCAGACAGTGCTCTCCTCGGTGCTCTCCTTTTCCACCCTTCTCCAGTGTGAGGGTTGGCGGTCTCCAGTTGGGTGTGGAGCAGTGAGGCCTGCTGGGGTGGGAGCAGCAGTGGCAGTGAGAGATGGAGGCGGGCTGGGCTGGGCTGAACAGTAGGCAGCACCATGGAGAGGGAGGTCCAGGCTGCTGCGCTCAGCTGGGAGAGGCGCTGCAGCCAGGGGTGGAGCCCTGTGCACCCCACCGCTGGCTACGGCCCTGGGGACCAATGTTCCCTCTAAACTGTGGCGTCCTGTGAGCAGAAATTCTACTTTGTGAGTTCCTGGCATTAAAGTTGTGAGCAGGTGATTTGGCTATTGCATAAATTAGTTTGCTCTGGGGCCATCCTTCCTGAGCCAAGACAAAAAGCTGTGAGCCGGAGGCTAAAATACTGTGAGCTAGCTGACACTAACTCAGCTTAGGAGGAACACTGCTGGGGACTACTCCTCTGCCTCTTGGCCTGTGGGATTTCCCAAGGTTCCATCTTGTCCCCTACGCTTTTCAACATCTATGTGAAGCCACTGGGGGAGGTCATCCAGAGATCTAGGCTGAGCTGCTATCAATCAGCTCTATGTCATACTCCCAGAAGATCCCAGGGAGGCTGTGGAAACTGTGAAGAGGTGCCTGGAGGCAGTTTTGGAATGGATGGGGGCTAACGAGCTGAAACTTAACCTGACAAAATGCAGGTGCTACTGGTGGGGGGAAGGTCTGACCCAGGAAATGGGTTATCCCCTGTTATGGAAGGGGTTGCACTCCTCTTAAAGGAGCAGGTTCATTGCTTGGGAGGGCTCCTGGCCCCGGGCCTCCCACTGGATAAACATGTGGCAGTGGTGGCCCAGGGGTGCCTTTCAGTGGCTTCGGCTGGTGAGCCAGCTGCAGCCATTTCTGGACAGAAACAATCCTGCCACTGTGGTGCATGCCCTGATAATATCTAGATTAGATTACAGCTATGTGCTCTATGTGGGGCTGCCCTTAAAGAGGAAGAAGAAGAAGAGGAGATTGGATTTATACCCCACCCTTCACTACCCAAGGTAGTCTCAGAGCGGCCTACAAACTCCTTTCCCTTCCCCTCCCCACAACAGACACCCCGTGAGGTAGGTGGGGCTGAGAGAGCTCTTGACAGAAACTGCTCTTTTTTAAAGACTATCCAGAAGCTACAGTTGGTGCAGAATGCTGTGACCGGGGCCTGACTGCAGCAGGTCATAGAGTCCATATCACTCCAGTCTTTTTTCACCTACACTGGCTTCCTACCCACTCATTCTGGTCATCCTCAGAGGCCTCGCTTTGGCTGCCCCTGTCATCTGAGGCTAGATGGGTGCTGACCCAAGAAAGGACCTTTTTTGTCATGGCACCAAAACTTTGGAACACCCTCCCCAAGGCCATTGGGCTGCCTCCCTCTATTGGTGTCTTTCACCAATGAGTGGAGACTTTTTCACTCATTTTGGCCCTCCTAGTGTTGTTTGGTTATAAGTTTTGATTGAATTTTATATTTGTAACTGTATTTCAATTGTTTAAATGTTTTTATTTTTACTGCCTTGTGGACCTGGATTGGGTGGAAAGGCAGCATCATAAGGCTTTAAATAAATAAATTTCAGCCCATCCACGGTAAACTGTTCAATCCCGACCGCATTCACCTCTGCTCCCATTAGACTATCCCTCTGCATGGCTGTAGCCAGTGAGGGGGGGGGCAGAGGGTGGTGCCCCCATCGAATCTTCAGTGCCTCACCACTGCTTCCTCTCCCCCCCAAAAAACCCCCCTACTTTGCTTTTTAAATCCTCACCGGCCCGCGCTGGCCCTTGTAAGAAGGAAGGATTACAAGGGCTGGCGTGGGGGTGGGTGGGGAGGGAGTCTGGGGCATGCGGTGCTACCTGGCCTTTTAATTCTGGGGAGGAGGACGGAGGGAGGGAGGG